AATAATTTTATTCATACAATTATCATTCAGCAAATCAGTACCTTCTAATAATTCTATTTTGAAGAAAAAATAAGGATCTTCAGCAATATTTCAAAGCTTCATTATTGTACGTATTACAAAATCAGACATTTGATGTGCACGTCGACCAGGAAGAAAATTCATTGATGTAGAACCTTGAGTTGATAATTGCAATTCAGAATCATAACCTGTAAGAAACTTGGCCATCGGATAATAAAAATCCTTTCCAAAACAAACTAGCAATTTAATTTAAATGTTTAGAATTGGATTATGAAACCAATTGTAGAATAATTCCCACTTCTGAATGTATACTTTTGGTGTTTTCTTTCTGGTTTTAAGTCAGAATAAAAACCATTCTGTGAATTTTATGTGAATTTCTCTTCGTTCTAAATATTGTTCAGCACATATTAATTCATATAGCCATCTAAATCAGATTGGCTGTTGATATTTTGTTAATTGATATCCAAATCGTTCTTCATAAAGTCTGCAAATATAATCTGATCGAATTCCCATTGGCTTATCTTTATCTGTCTTATTATAACCGTCATGAAGATCCCAAGCCAAATATAAAAGATTTGCTGGAAGTTCTTTTCTTGAGAATCCACTAACATTAGGCAACTTACCAAAAGCAACTTCTTCAAAGTTATTCATTATAATGTGTGTAACATGGAGACCACAAGGGATTTGAAATAAATTAGCATCACTTAACTTATTAAATAAAGAGATTGCACCTCCAGATTTACCGCTCATGTAGTTTGTATTATCAGTAACACATACAAAGCACTGTTGTGGATTTATTTTAAAATGATCAAAAATATCATATATTGCTTGAGCAACGGATTTTCCTGTACAAGTTGCTAAATCTCTCATCTCCAATACTTGAAAGTCTGGCTTATTAATTCTTGAGTTCCAGAATATAACACATAGTACAAATATTTTATGTTGATCTCGTGTTGACTTATCTAGCATTATTCCAAATGTAAAAAATTCTGAAAGAGTATCTTGATTAAAGATTTGATTTATATGAATTTCACTAATTTCCTTATTTTATCGAATAATAGATTGAGATGAAATTTTCAATGAGTCTTCTCCAGTTAAAAAACCTAAGACCAGTTGTATGGCTTGAGCAGTATTTTGAAATGACATTTGACCAATTTGTGATACTTGTGTAGCCATATTAACAAATTTTGTTATATATTGATGCTTGTTTTTCATAATAATTTCTTGAATACTTGCTTTTAAGCTTTGAGAATTAGCTAATAAAGGTTTGCGAGCTGTAGCATGTACTTTTGATATATGTTGACATTGTTTACGTTTATATTGTGTTAATTTTCCTGTTAATTATTTAACTTTGAGATTTTTTTTCGCGTTAGAATGTTCCAATTGAGTTACTTGCTTTTGAAGTGCTTGATTATTTTGAATTAATGAGTCTGTATCCTGATCCA